CGCTCCAAGCTTGCCCGCCTGGCCCAAGCGCTGGAGGCCCTGGACCCCCCCAGCCCCCCCGAGGACCCAGGTGTCCGGAGGGGGGATCCCGGGTCCCAGTAAACCCCCAGAAAACCCTAACGACATCTCGGCCTCGTTATTTCTATTCGGGGACGTGTCACGAGCTGTACGGTCTCAGCTTGGGGGTGGGAGGGGATGGGGGGGGACCCAGGTGTCCAGGCTCCGCCCCTCCTCGCCAGCAGATCTGGTTCAAGAGCCCCCAGATGCCGGTGGGATCCGGGAGCTGCCGACACCCCGAAACCAGCTCCCCCAAACCGGCCTTTCCCCCCACCCCCCCTCCCTGAGACCAGCTGCGACGGTGACATCATAACTCACTGGGACACCATCACTGCCACTGCAATGTTGTAATCGGCACTGGCACCCTGAAAACAGCACCGGGACTCCCCCATCCCCAGAGCGACAGCGGGACCCCTCAAAATTGGTCCCAGGATCCTGACGCTGACACCGGACCCCCCCAAGGCTGTCACCTGCTGTCACTTCAGGTATTTGTCACCCCCCTGGTCCCCACCATGTGTGTCCCCTTGTGTCCCCCCCCAGTCCCTCCTGGGGTCCCCCATGTCTCTTGGTCCCTCCTTGTCTCATGTCCCCCGTCCCTTCCCCACCATGTCTCCATGTCCCCTCCCTATGTTCCCCCATTCCTTCTGGTGTCCCCCATGTCCTCCCGTGTCCCCCCCAATGTCCCCTCACATCCCTCCCTCTCTCTTGGTGTCCCCTCCATGTCTCCCCTGTCCCTCCCGGGGTCTCCACATTCCCTCTCCCCCAGGAACTCCCCATGTCCCTGTGCCACCCCCAGTGACGTCCCCGTCCCCTCTGTCCCCCCAGGGTCCCTGCCCATGGCCGAGGGGTGCTCCCACGCCGTTCCCCCTCATCCCCTCCCTGGGGAGGTGACAGCCACCCCCGGGGACATCACCATGGACCCTGAACCCGCATGGGGACAGGCTGGAGGCGTCCCCCAGGGAGAGAGTGACACCGGTGTCCCCATGGACACCGTCACCCCTTGGGCCAGCGGCATCACCATCACTGTCACAGCAGCCCCGGTGGATGAGGACGCCGGGGATTTTGGGGACGAGGACATCCCAGGCTTCGGGGATGAGGACATCGGGGACAAGGACATCTCGGTCACAAGTGACGCAGGGCACGGGGCTGCCCCAGTCCTGTGTGACAAGGATGTAGAGGACAGGGATGTCACAACCCCAAAGGACATTGGGGACAGGGATGTTCCAGCCTCTGGGGACAAGAATGACAGTGACAAGGATGTCACAGCTCTAAGGGACATTGGGGACAGGGATGTCATGACCTCAAGGGACATTGGAGACCGGGATGGTCCAGCTCGTCTGGACAAGGATACTGGGGACAAGGATGTCCCAGCTCCTCGGGACAGGGATGTTGCCACCCTGAGGGACATTGGGGACAGGGATGTCCCAGCTCCTTGGGACAGGGATGTCACCACACCAAGGGATGTTGGGGACAGGGATGTCCAAACCCTAAGGGACAAGGATGTTGGGGACGCGCAGGTCTCAGTCCTAAGGGACAATGGGGACAAGGACGTTGCGGACATGCAGGTCTCAGTCCTAAGGGACACTGGGGACAAGGACATTGGGGACGCGCAGGTCTCAGTCCTAAGGGACACTGGGGACAAGGTTGTCCCAGCTCCAAAGGACTTTGGGGACAGCAGTGTCCCAGTCCTAGGGGACATCTGGGTCAAGGATTTGGGGGACACGCAGGTCTCAGTCCTAAGGGACATTGGGGACAAGGACGTTGGGGACGCGCAGGTGTCAGTGCTAAGGGACACTGGGGACAAGGTTGTCCCAGCTCCAAAGGACTTTGGGGACAGCAGTGTCCCAGTCCTAGGGGACATCTGGGTCAAGGATTTGGGGGACACGCAGGTCTCAGCCCTGAGGGATGTTGGGGACCTTGGGGACAGGGATGTCACCGCCCCAAGAGATGTTGGGGACGGGGATGTCCCAGGCCCTGGAGACGCTGAGGATGAGGACATCGGCGATCTCCCAGCCCTGAGGGACATTGGGGACATAGATGTCCCAGTCTTAAGGGACAATGGGGACATTCCCGTCTCTGAGGACAAGGACACTGGGGACAGGGATGTCCCAGCTCCTGGGGACAAGGATGTCACCACCCTAAAGGGCACGGGGGACAGGGATGTCCCAGCCCACCTGGTTGAGGATGTTGGGGACAGGGAGGTCACAGTCCCAGGGGACACTGGGGACATCCCAGTCTCTGGGGAGGAGGACAAGGACACTGGGGACAGGGATGTCACTGTCCCAAGGGATGTTGAGGACATTGGAGGTAAGGACTTTGGGGACAGGGACATTGAGGATGAGGACGCTGGGGACAGGGCCATTGGGGACATGGATGTCACAGCCCTGAGGGATGTTGGGGACAAGGACAGAGATGTTGCAGCCCTGGCTGACACGGGGGATGGGGACACTGGGGACACCTGTGCTGCTGGTGGCATCACCATCACGGTGACGGCCCCCCCCATGGAGGACGAGGACATCCCCAGTGGGGACGAGGACGTTCCCAGCGATGACATCGCCACTGATGTCACTGCTGCACTCCCTGGGGAGCAGGTCCCTTGTGACGTCGTGGAGAGCAGTGATGTCACAGCCGCCCACCCCAGTGATGCCACTGCAGGGCGTGACATCCCCTCCACTCTCCCTGGGGACGTCCCTGCTGGTGATGTCATCAAGGATGACATTGTTTCCTCCCTCCCTGGTGATATCATGGCTGAGAGTGATGTCACTTCCTCGATGCCTGGGGATGACATCATTGTAGACCTCATCAACAGAGATGACATCACTTCCTTTCTCCCCGAGGAAGCCCTCACTGGTGATGTCATCACCAAAACCGACATAATTTCCTCCCTTCCTGGGGATGACATTGCTGGTGGCGTCATCCCTGGGAATGACCTCACTGGTGACATCATAGCTGGGGGCATCTTTGCTGATGAAATAATCACCAGGCATGATGTCACTTCCTCCCTTCCTGGGAATGAGCTTGTTGGTGATGTCATGCCCAGAAATGACTTCACTGATGACATCATCACCAGGGATGACATTCCTTCTTCCCTCTCTAGGGATATCTGCGCTGATGATGTCATTGCTGGCCACGATCTTATTCCCTACCTTCCTGGGGATGACCTTGCTGTTGACATCATTCCTGGAGACGACCTCACTAATGACATCATCGCAGGGGAAGACATCATGTTTTCTGTACCTGGGGATATCCCTGCTGATGACATCATTGCCACGGATGATGTCACTTCCTCCCTGCTGGGAGATGTTGCTGGCCAAGAAGTCAAACCTGCTAGTGACATCATCTGTGCGAACGATGGTGACGCATCGGCTTGGAATGACTTCACTGATGATGTCATGCCTGAGGATGACATCACTTCTTTCATCCCTGGTGGTATTGCTAGACGTGGCATCATTCCCCATGGTGACATCAGAGATGATGTCACACGGGGATCTGACCTTGGTGACATCGTCGAGGGTGATGTCACTGCCTCCCTCCTGGGTGCCCTCTCTGGCCGTGATGTCAGCCCTGAGGATGACATCATGGGTGACATCAGCCCCGGGGAGGAGCAACTGCTCCCCAGCCTTAAAGACCCCATCCGCCCGGGCGATGACCTCACCGATGACATCACCACTGACGTGCCCAGAGAGGGTGTTGGCAGCCGAGGTGACGCCACAGGTAAGAGGGGAGGCGGAGCCAAGACCTGGGGGTGGGGCCTGGAGGCAGGGCCAGAGCCAGAGGGTGGGGCCA